CGGGCCTCGGGCCTGGCTCTCCTCCCAGCGCAGCCGGCTCCGACTCCCCCTCCCCGCTGCCGTCGCCGCTGCCGGAGCTGGGACGCTGGCCTACACAGCCTGGGCCGCAGCCCAAGGCCTGGAACCGCTCCCTGCCCCCGCACACAGACCCACCCTCTCCAGCCTGTCCCCTTGGGGTTTTACCCCTCTCTATTCACCTCAGTCCCTTGTCCCTATGGCTTCACGCCTGACTCTCCTGTCACTTCTGACAAGTCATTCAGCTGTCCAGACCCTCTCTCCCTGGTCCTTGGTCCTTCCATTCCTCCTACTATTCTCCTTTACCTACTTCTCCAGCCGTCAACTCTGCCCCCAAACGCTCTTAGGGTCCTGTCACTTCTTCAACTGTCATCATGATCTCTCACCTGTCATCATGATCTCTCACTTGTCTCTATCTTACCAACCCCCTCCTCTTATCCTGTCACTCCAGATCCCTTCCATTCCCCTCTGCTCTCTTCTACACCTTTTTCCACCTGTTCCCATTACCCCTCAAGGCTCTGTCTGATTCATGGCCTCTTACACCTGGGCTCCCAAATACCCACCCACACTTGGTTCACATCTTTCATAGTTACACATCAACACTTATATTCACATACCACAATGCACTCCCAAGCACTTAGAAAACACACACACATACACCCCACGTTGCTGGTCCCATACATCACACTCTGAGAGACATTATTAGAAATCCTCCTTCTCACTACACGTCCAGAGAGGCCTGAAGCGCAGGAATGGGGCAGCCACGTTTCTTATGTTGTGTCTTTTACCCTCATGGAAGCTGAATGTAGTCCTCCTGAGGTAGACAGGAATGGGAAGGACAGTGGAGAGGGAGCAGCAGGTCTCCCTTTTTCCACCTCACCTTTTAAGCTTGCCCATCTATATGGGAGCAGGACACAAATTTTCCTTATCCACCTACATATTCCACCATCACAGGACTGGAAGACCCACCAGAGTTCACCCAGTTCAACTTCTTTCTTTTTTTCTTTTTCTTTTTTGTGGTGCTTGGGATGAAACTCAGAGTATCATAAATGCTAAGGAAGCACTCCAATATTGTGCTATGCCCCCAGCTCTCAACATCTCTTTATTTATTTTTTGATGTTGCTGGATATTGAACCCAGAGCTTTGGACATGCTAACCATGCTCCCAATCACTGAGTTACACCTCTAGCCCAAGTTCAACTTTTTAAGGCCTTCTCCTCACCAGTTCAATTATTTCTTCAGTCTTGTCCTCAATCTGTCTCCCCCACCTTTATTGCAGAACCTCATCTTCCATTGCCCTCACTGCCCTCCAAATTCCTGATGCTCTGTATCCCACTTCAGCAGGAGGGAAGAGTGTGGATTAGAGGAAACAACTGAATTTAGTCATTTTAAGAAAAAGAATGACTGTGTAGCTCCCCATGAAGATTCTCTTCTTTCATGTCTGCCACAGCACACCGTGACCTGTTGAAGGATTTCCCACCCTGTCCCCTTATTATGATGTCTAGAAACAGGACCCCTGGAAATTATCCTATCCTGAGGAAAGTTGGGTTAATGTGGTTCCCACCCCATCTATAGATTTAACCTCCCCTGGAGCCTCCCTCCCATCTCCAATCCCCAACCTAAATAACTTCTTTCTCTTCTATGTGTGACTCTCCAGGGTCACCATTAGGGCACAGCATCCTGCATGTAAAAAGTGTAGGGGAAAGAGGAGAGGACAAGATTCGGGTTCCAAATCCTGTTCTGGATTGGCAGAGACCTGGAAAGTGCATGCCTACACACTTGTACAATACAGACAGTCAGACATGCAGAGACACACACATACGTACATATTTTTCTGGGTAATATGTGCCTGGCTTTCCCATCCCTCACAGTTGGGACACTCTCCCTGATATTCACCTTTTACTCATTCTGTGTTCTTTCTAGTTGATTTCCGAGCAGACCCAGAGAGATGTGGTCAGAGACTCTCTCACCTCATGCCCACCTATCTGCTATTTTCAGTCACTCTTGCCTTTGCTAGGCTGCTCCCCACTGTCCTGTTCTCCCCAGTTGAATCTGGCTTTGTCTCTTCAGAATGGCCACAGGGCTGGCATCCCTCTGAAATCCATGTCTTGAGCCCATCATCTTGTGTTCACCCAGGACCAGCTCACTGGCTTTCCAGCCCAGGGCTGTGTGGGTCTCTCACTACTAAAGGTGAATGCCCCTCAGCAGCTGCATCTTCTTCACTCATGGGGTGTCATATATCTCCTCATTTCCTTGATGATCATATCTCCATGTTGGTTAGCAGGTCACTCTGGTTTGGGTCTCCCATTGGTCGCCCCTTGATCAGAAGATCTTCCCTTTTTACTAAGCCTCTGATGAACAGCTCTTTGGGCATGTTGTGGCACAGGGGAGATATGGGTTCTGGGGATCACCAATGGACCACTCAGACTGGTCCTTCTTGGCTTAGTTGTCCCCTACCACAAGCATAAGTCCCAGTTTAGTATGATCCCTTGGTTGATGAGTCTTCTCCACATTAGTAAGCATGTCTCTTTGGTAAAACGGTTTTCCCACTGCCTGTTCACATATCATTGTCCTCTCCTTGTTTCATCAACATATGTGTTCTGTGGCTGTAGTTTGTAGTATCTCCCTTCACTGACCTCCATCATGGAGGAGTGCTTCCCCAGTGAGCTCTATAGCATCTGCCCTGTGGGCCAGAAAGGATGTCTGCCAGTTGAGCTCTTCTCCAAATCTGCCAGGTAGTTCTGGGTCAGCAGCCTGCCCCGCTCACGGTCACTCCCCCATTCCCCCAGGTAGATGGCCCCACCAGGGCAGGCCCTGCGGACACCCCTCCCTCGGGCTGGCGGATGCAGTGCCTAGCGGCCGCTCTTAAGGACGAAACCAACATGAGTGGGGGAGGGGAGCAGGCCGACATCCTGCCGGCCAACTACGTGGTCAAGGATCGCTGGAAGGTGGTGAGTGACCCGGTGGGGCAGAGAGAGGGGTGGGGAGAGGGAGGCGAGAACCTGGAGACTTGTTAAGACAGGTGCCCTTGGAGCTTCTACCCTAAGAGGGAGGTGTCCCTGGGTTTATTTGCATACTGCTTGCAGGTCATTGTTTTGCCCACACGTGTGGACAATCGCTTTTTCCCAGTACCTCTCTCCAACCCCGCCCTCTCTCACCCCCTTTCCCGGCCAGGTCACGTTGCTCAGGCCCTGCCTGGAACAACTCCTGGTTGGATGTCTGGGCAGGAGCTGCAGAACCCAGGGTGCGGAGGAGGAAGGTGTGGGGGAGGGACCTCTTTCTCTGCCGGACCTTGGAGAAGGGCGGTGAATGGACATGTGTTCCTCCGCTTCCGCGGAGGATGGAAAGGCCTGGGTTTGGGAAAAGAGGCCTTGCGGGCAGCTCCCACCGCATCTGCACTCCATCTTCTCCATCCACCCTCCTCCCCTCGCCGGTTCCTGCGGCAGGTGCAACACGCCGAGACTCCATTTCCCAGCGTGCCTTGCTCATCCAGCCCAGGACTTCAGGCTGCTAGGCCTGCTGGGAGTTGTAGTCCGAGCCTTCTTGAGCCTGGGTGGGAGGGAGCAAAGTGAGGGTTGGGGGGATGGCAGTGTCTGGGGAAGGAGAACCTACGGTAAATTAGCCCCTGTCCTATTTAAGTCATTTAAGAGCGCTCTGGTGTCCTCATCATTATAGAGGCGAGATGATATGGGGCGGTAGAGTGGGGGAAACTAGTGTGTGAGCTTGTGGTTCTGCAGGGGAGTGGGAAGCCTGGAGGAAGGAAAGGAGAATGACAGAGGTCAGGTTTACACGTGTGTGTGTGTGTGTGTGTGTGTGTGTGTGTGTGTGTGTGTGTTCGCGCGTGCGCACCTGGCATGCTCTGGTGGGAGGGAGGATCAGCTCACCCAGGGTTTGGTTTTTGGAGGGGAGGGTGGGGTCTGGGTGCAGGCGGGTTTCCATAGCAACGGTCACCCGGCGGCTCAGGTCCCCTGGAGGTCCAGGAAAGAGGCAAAGGGTGGGGGTGGGGGCTGAAGAGGAGGAGAGGAGGAGACTACTAGGGCCCGGAGAGATAAAGAGAAGAAGCTATGTCCTCAGGGAGACTTCCTGAGAGGAAAAGTAACAGGACAGTCATAAAAGGAAAAAGGGTCTGTTAAGTAAGGAGTGTTCCTCCAAGACCCCCGGGTCCCTAGCACAAGAGCTTAATGTATGGAAGATGGGAAGCAGAATGGCATTTACACTGAGGCTTGAGTAAAGAGTGTTCACATGCTGAGTTTAGGCTAGGACTTCCTTGTGCTTTGTGAGGGAGGGAATGGGGTATGAGTGGGGCAAGAAATGATAAGGGGAAGCTGGGGAAGAGGAAGTATACTCTTTTGCCAGGCCCAGGGTTTCTCCTTACCCCCCCTCCCAGCCCCTGAAGAACTGGAGAGGTTGAGGAGTCAGGTGCACTCCTTAGTGAAGGATGTCACTGAGATGGGAGTCAGAACTCTGGAATCAAGAAAAAACAGCCTAGAAATGGGCTATGGCCAGGAGAATATGAGGGTCAGTGGCACTAGATGGAGCATTTAAAAATGAGAACATTTTGTCCTTATTGGGGGTGTTCATCAGAATCAGAATACAAACAGCAATAAAAACTTAGTATTTATTTGTTTTGCTCATTTACTGTTGTCAGGTGCTGTGCAAAATGCCTTACATAGTTTCTTCAACTACTTATGCAGGAGATACTGCTATTCCTCCCATTTCACAGGTGTGGAAACTGAGCCCTAGAGATTAGCAGTTGCTAAATTCAAGACCAGCTCTGTTTGACTGCTGGGTCAACAGAGTCACCAAAAATCAGCCCATCCACAGAGTTGAAGGGATATTTTGATCAATTGTAGTGTGATTCTCTTCATTTTATAAAGGAGTGAAAATGGAGACTCAAAAAGTTTAAGAAATTCACCCAGTTCCCCCAGAGTTGGACCAAGAACCCTGGTCTCCTTCTTCCCAAGTAAATGCTTGTCCTATTGTGTCAAATTTCTTTTCCAGTTTAGGGAGCTTCTTCATCATCGGTTGAGCTCATGAAAAAAATGTAGGAGGAGGGGAGGAACACGGTCTGGCAAAGAGGGATTGAGAGAATATTCGTGGTCAGGGGCTGTGAGCAGGGCTGCATTATGACTTTCATGAACCTGCACCACTCTTACCTTCATGACTCCTCCTTCCATAATAAAGCACTAAAAATTCTATTTTTATAACTATATTCATATAAAAGGAATATAATCAGGGGCTGGGGATATAGCTCAGTTGGTAGAGTGCTTGCCTTGTATGCACAAGGCTCCGGGTTCATATCCCTAGCACCAAAAAAAATAAATAAATAAAAATAAATAAAAGCAGTACAATCATATAGTATATCAAAATTTTCTCCTTGACCTAAACATTTATGTTTTTCCTTCTGACTTTGAAATAAAACATTTTCATGAATCTCAAATAGTGTCAGGGGCTTAGTCACTGATACTATTATTATTCTTAGGCATGATGGTGCATGCCTATAATTTCTGGGGCTTGGGTGTCTGAGGCAGGAGAATTGCCAGTTCAAAGCCAGCCTCAGCAACTTAGTGAGGCCCTAAGGAATTCAGCGAGATATTTTGGGTTTTGATATTATTTTGATATTTTGATATTATTTTGTCCCTAAATAAAATATAAGAAAGGGCTGGGGATGTGGCTCAGTGGTTAAGTGTTCCATCTCTGGTACACCCCCCAAAAAATAGAGAAAAGAAAAGTGGGCCCTAGCCATCAGGCAGGTGGAGATGGGGTGCTGATTGAGTGCTCCCTGCCAGCTCCCCACCAGAGGGGGTTTCTCTGACAGGATAGGGGTAAGAAAAGAATCAAGGAAGGAGAAATAGGCTCTGTCTGGAATGAAGGCAGTACAGGAGCACCCTTGGGCACCCTGGGAAATTGGAGAGTAGGTGTTAGAACTATCTCTGCTGCTTTGAGCTTGCCTTCCTTTCCTCCAGCAAGCATTTGGGAGGCTGGCAGCCCCGGCTTGAATCTCAACCCTCACACTGATACGGTTCAGGGCTCCTCACAATGCAGTGGATTCTATGCCAGTGTGGATTCTCCCTCCAGTGGCTTGGGTTCTTTGAAACCCAGCTTTGTTAGTTACTAGCAGTGTGGCCCCGGGTGAGCGACTGTCCTCCCTGTGTCTGTTTTCCCTTTGTACACAACAGGGACTCATGTGACCTTTCTCACTGCTGCTTCTCCAATGAAGCCTTGGGGATCCGCTGTCTGTGAACTGGGGATGCCTTGCCGCTCCTTCCCCTGCCTTTCCTGGTTCTCACACACAGCTAACCATAGAGGAATCTGGAAGACATTAGTGTTTCCCTGGCGTTGGAAGTTCCCAGAGGAAACCATGCCACGGTGTCCCTTGAGTTTGCTTCAGTCCCCTCTGGTTCTGAAATTCTCCCAGTCAGACTAACTCATCACAAGCAGAAAGCTACTCTGGTCTCTCAAGTTCCTTCCCTTTTCCTCGTGTTCCCACTTCAGCTTTGTCTTCTCAATCTTTCCTTCACCCTTTTCTCTCTGGAGTGATTTCACTTTAACTTTCTGTAACTCCCATTCCAGTCCTCCAGCTGGCTCTGCCCTGGGCTCTTCCTTCTTCCACTCCCTTCAAACACCATTCAGCAGTCAGTCATTCTTGGAGTCCCAGGAGCAGAGGTGGCAGAGACTCAGGAGTTTACCTGCTGGACTGTCGGAGCCCAGCTACACTGGAGAGGTAGAGCTAACAGGACACAGAGGACTTAGGGAGGGCAGGCCACTCATGTGGGCAGGCTCCCTGAAGAGGTGAGAATCCACTGTATTTTTTTTTTTTTTTTGGTACCAGAGATTGAACCCAGGGGTGCTTTACCACTGAGCCACATCCCAGCCCTTTTTAATATTGTATGTAGAGACAGGGTCTTACTGACTTGCTTAGGGCCTCGTTAAGTTGCTGAGGCTGGCTTTGAACTCCCAATCCTCCTTCCTCAGCCTGCTGAGCCACTGGGATTACAGGTGTGTGCTACCATGCCCAGCCAGCTGTACATCTTTCTTTTATTCTTTTTTTTTTTTGGTGGGGGAGGGGACCATGGATTGAACTCAGGGGCATTAGACCACTGTGCCAAATCCCCAGCCTTTTTGTACTTTTAATTTATAGATAGGTAGACAGGGTCTCATTGAGTTGCTTAGTGCCTCACGTTTGCTGAGGCTGGTTTTGAACTGGCGATCCTCCCGCCTCAGTGCCTCCCCACCACAGCCACTGGGATTACAGGCATGTGCCACCGTGCCTGGCTGTACATAGAACTCAGTGCCTTCTTCCTGTTCCGTCTTCACTGCCAACAGTGTCTTCACCCATCCAAGACCCCTGGACCTCTCAGGTGAAAAGATTTCCCCCTGCTATGCTGGGGATCAAACCCAGGGCATTCTACCACTGAGCTATATCTTGAGACAGGGTCTTGCTAAGTTGCTCAGGCTGGCCTCACACTTGTGACCCTCCTATCTCAGCCTCCTGAGTAGCTGGAGAATCTGGGATCACAGATGTGAAGCCAAAATTATTTTTTTAATGTTTTTATTTTTTAGTTGTAGTTGGACACAATACCTTTATTTTATTTATTTATTTTTATATGGTACTGAGGATCAAACCCAGGGCCTCGCACGTGCTAGGCGAGCACTCCACCACTGAGCCACAACCCCAGTCCCCCAAATTATTTTGAATCCCTCTCCCTAACTCTCCTCATCTCCCCTGCCAGTTCTTTATCACGGTTCTCTTCAGCTCTTCTCACTGCCTGCTCTGGGATACTGCAGGAAGAGGGCCTCAAGGGTCAGATGGTGGGGTTATATTCTTCTCCACAGCTCATTCCCACCCTTCTTCAACAGCACCCCCTTCCCTGGAGAGGAGACTTTGGGCATCTGACCAGGGACCTCAGGTGTGGTGTGGGCTTCTCCAGTGGGCATGGGTCATGGACACCCTTCACTGAATCCCTCCCCCAGATATTCTCTCCCTCTGTTGACATCTTTCAGGAGACTGACAGTCCCAGGAAGTGTCAGCTCCCATCCTGAGGCCTAGAGGTTCTGGAATTATTTTTCCTTCTGTTTGGGGGCTCAGCACGGGGAGATCATGGTCTTTGTTGTCTTAGAGAAGAAGAGAATCAGAGTGGCCGATGATCTCTCTAGAACTCTGTATAGACAGGCTTATCTCTGTGTCTGTGTCACTGATTTCATAACTTTTTCTACGCTGACCTCTGGTCTTGTGTGTGTGTGTGGTATATATGTGCGCACATGTGTGTGTGTGTGTGTGTGTGTGTGTGTGTGTAGTTGTGTAGTTGTATATCTATGGACTGAGCTGTCTGGAGGCACGAGGAGAGGAGGGAAGGTGGGGGACACTGATGGGAAACAGCAGGAAATATGGGGTCCTCCCTTCAAGTATATCCCCTTCCCCATCAATGGAGGACCCAATGCACAGAAGTGGAATGAGCATGTGCTCAGTTTGATCCTTGAGGACTCCTCTCCCTCCTCTCATAGCTGAAAAAGATCGGGGGCGGGGGCTTTGGCGAGATCTACGAGGCCATGGACCTGCTGACCAGGGAGAACGTGGCCCTCAAGGTGGAGTCAGCCCAGCAGCCCAAGCAGGTTCTCAAGATGGAGGTGGCTGTGCTCAAAAAATTACAAGGTATGGACCCAGGGCATGGGGATGGGGCAGATGTGATGGAGCTCAGGGCTGAGAGAGGTGGGGTCCGAGTCTCAGAGAGTGATGGGGCGAGGCTGCGTTGGTGATGAAGGAGGGAGACGGGTCTGTGGCTTCTAGGAGGAGATGGAGCCAGAGTGTAGGAGAGAAGATGGGGCTGAGGGCAGGGGGAGGAGATGGCAGAGGCCTCCACAGGCCAGGGAGTGGGGAGGTGGGAGCCACAATGCGCCAGGCACCCACTTAGGGCTGGAAGTGAGGAGGAAAGAGCAGGAGTTGGGAGGTCCTGTCTGTCCCCCTTAGGGAAGGACCACGTATGCAGGTTCATTGGCTGTGGCAGGAACGAGAAGTTTAACTATGTCGTGATGCAGCTGCAGGTGAGCCCTCCCAGCGCATCCTCCAACCTCCCTCCAAAGATCTGGGGCTGCACCTCAGGGATGGGAGCAGGGAGGGGAGACCATGGCCCCTTGAGAAATGAGCCCCAGATGGGAACAGCACATGGGGCAAGGCTGGGCAGAGCATCACAGTGGTGGTGGTTGGGGTGCAGCTGAGGCGGGTCTGCGCCCCTAAACCCCCAGGGCCGGAACCTGGCTGACCTGCGTCGCAGCCAGCCACGAGGTACCTTCACGCTGAGCACCACGCTGCGGCTGGGCAAGCAGATCCTGGAGTCCATTGAGGCCATTCACTCTGTGGGCTTTCTGCACCGTGACATCAAGCCGGTGAGCCTGCCCCGCTCCTCCTCTCCACCTCTGGGCGCTGGTTTCTTCTTTATGACAGTGGATGGGCTGGGTCAGCCTCTTGTGCCCAAACCCCTCCTGCTCTCTACCCCAAGCCCCATCTCCTCTCCCTGCTGCCCACGAGCACACAATCTGCCCAGCCCCCACCTCTGTTTTCTGCTCCTCTTAATTCCTCACCCTTGATCTGAGTATCCCTTGAACCTAGAAAGGTGACAGGGTTGGGAGAGGACAAACAGATGAAGGAAGGAGACAGAGGGTTGGGGCTTGGTAAGGAATTCCAGGTAACCAGTTTTGTGATAACTTGAATCTTGGTGCTAGAAAAAAAAAATCCTATGTAAAGGGATGAAAACTGAGGCCCAGAAAAGTTATTTGAATGGCCCAAGGACACACAGCAAGAACAATATAGATCTGCTACCTTAGAGCAGGACAGTTACACAAACCACACTGCCTTGACGGGGAGTGTGAGGACATAGGGCTGAGCAGATCGGGGTTTGAAGCTTAGCTGGGTTGTCACTTGCTATGTAGTCTCAGAGAAGCCCACTCACCTCTTTGACCTTCAGCTTCCTCATCTCTAAAATGAGGACAATCACACCTGCGGCACCCATGTAAATAGAGCTGTCCCCTTGAGTGTGAGAGTAGGTGGGGCTGGGGTCCTTCCCTGCTGCAGAGCTATTTCTTGGGGAATCCTGGGGGTAGGAGCCCCCGGGGCTCATAGCTCGTCTTTTTCCAGTCCAACTTTGCCATGGGCAGGCTGCCTTCCACCTATAGGAAGTGCTACATGCTGGACTTTGGGCTGGCCCGGCAGTACACCAACACCACAGGGGATGTCCGACCGGTGAGTACCACTGTGCACAGAGTTCTGGGTTGTCAGGACAGTGACACACACACTGCCCCCCCATGTGGGGACCCTTCACCAACTTTTCTTGCAACTGCTTAAGCTGGCCTGGCCTCATCTTCAGCATAGCACCCCCACCTCTTGGGTCAGCCCAGCCCATCCCTCTGCCCCTAACTGGGCCCTTGTCAGATGTCACAGCCACACTCTGTAACCTTCCTGCTCTCTGGCAGGTGGAGGCAGGCAATGGATCAGGGTCCTATTGGTGGCAGGGCAGAGATGTGGCTGAGGTCAGGGGCTAAGGGTGAGCTTCCTGGTTGTGGTCTCTCCTCTGCAGCCTCGGAATGTGGCCGGGTTTCGGGGGACTGTTCGCTATGCATCAGTCAATGCCCACAAGAACCGGGTGAGTGACAGAGGCTGTGCTGTGGGATGGGGGCAGAATGGGCAAGGTTGGGGCAAAGTGCGCAGACAGGATAGGGAGTAGGTGTCATGGTGGAGAGAGGAGCGGGGCAGGGGCTGGAGTGAATCTATCCTGCTGGAGGCCCTGGCTTGGAGGAAGGCTCCACTGTTGGCTTCCCCAGATGTTACCCTCTGCCTTTCCTTCAGGGATTCCAGGCCTTCTGTTCCCCCTACAAATCACTCCTTCCCCACCCCCACAGGAGATGGGCCGCCACGATGACCTGTGGTCCCTCTTCTACATGCTGGTGGAGTTTGCAGTGGGCCAGCTGCCATGGAGGAAGATCAAGGACAAGGTGAGACCCACACAGCTGGGTCCAAGGAGGCAGGGGTGGGGGCAGCTGGGGTTCCATCTCTCCACCCTCTTCTTGCCTCCAGGAACAGGTGGGAATGATCAAGGAGAAGTATGAGCATCGAATGCTGCTGAAGCATATGCCCTCAGAGTTCCACCTCTTCCTGGACCACATCGCCAGCCTCGACTACTTCACCAAGCCTGATTATCAGGTGGGAGCCTGGGGCTTGCTCCTGTAGCCCTGGAAACCACTCTGGGGGTGACCATCATTCAGCAGAGCCCATTCTCATCAAGGCCTGGAGCTGACTCTAAGCGCTTCCTCCGGTCTTCTAACTGCACCAAACTGTTCTGTACCCTCCCTTGTAAACAGTAGTAACAGCTTAGATGGATCAAGAGCTGGCCCTGTTCTTAGTGCCATTCAAGCTTCAAAAGAAGCCTTTGATGACAGTTGGACAATGTTATTATTCCAATACATGTGCTCTCAAGTATTTTATACCAAAACTTCAGGAAGCCACATGGGATGATTGTTCCCATTTCTGAGGTGTAAAGCTGAGGTGGTATCATGGTGAGGAGGAGGCCTGGGCTCAGATACAGTTGTGCATCGTGTTTAATGGCAAGGATGCATTCTGAGAAATCTGTTCTTAATCTGTCATTGTGAATATCACAGAGTGCAGTTACACAGGCCTAGAGGGTGTATCTACTGCCCACCCAGGCTGGATGGTGTGCATGTATACATGATACAGCCTATTTCTCCGGGGGCCACGGTGGACAATGTGAGATTATATCAAGCACAAAAGAAAATGATGAGAACAAGTGACACAACAAACCTGAGGGGAACTGCTACTGTGGTGCTCAGCAAAGTGTTTTGTAGAAAACTTTTTTTTTTTTAAGTTGCGGGATACTCCATAACATAATTATAAAAAGTATATATTAGGTACAGAACATAATTGTATTTTTTTCCAGTACTGGGGATGGAAGCCAGGGGTGCTATACCATTGAGCTACATCTCCAGCCCTTTTTATCTTTTGTTTTGTAGCAGGGTCTCACTAATTTGCCCAGGCTGGCTTCAAAATTGCAGTCCTCTTGCCTTAGCCTCCCGAGTCTCTAGGGTTTCAGGCACCTGGCTTATGTGTATTATATTTTTATACCACTGGCAGTGTAGTAGGCTCTTTTACACCAGCATCTCCACAGACATTGAGTAATGCTTTGCACTGGGACCTTATGACAACTATGACTTTCCAGGTGACAGGACATTTTCAACTCCACTGTAATCTTATGGGGCCATTATCACATATGCAACCTGTTGTTGACCAAAACGCCATTATGCATTGCATGACTGTGCATCTGACTCCAAGTCCAGTGCTCTTTCTGAGGCACCCTCACTGTGCACCATAGGGCCCACTGACCCTGACTGGGAGATGCAGGATGTGTCAGCCATGCTGTCAGGAAAGTACTGTGGGCCAGGGACAGTGCTGCACCCTGTGGGGAGCCCAGACACTGTGGATCACACAGTAGGCCTTGAGCAAGTGGGTACTATCTGCAGAGAGTAACTCCTTGAACTCTTAAGAGACCCAAGTCAGAAGTGGAATGATCTGGGGGCCTCAGAGTGTCTGTAGCTGCCTGCTACTTCCTGAGTCCAGAGCTCCCGTTGCTGACAGAGTTGTCCCCTGACTCAGCCTCACGAGTCCTCCAGACTGTACAGTTGTGAGCATCTCCTGCTGGGCTCTGGGCCTGCTGCTGGAACAGGCAAATAGATGTGTGAGCGATTCAGGTGGATGCCCCCTGTCCAGCGATTAGAGGGGAAGCTGTGTGGGAGGGAAGTTAGATGGCAGGAAGAGGATGTTGGGAGAAGCAACCAGCAAGAGGGACAGCCTGTGCCGAGCACGACTCCATGAGGAAACTCCTAGTGCTTCAGGGCTGCTAATTTTCCTGCTGAGACAGTGGAAATGACAGAGGCATTTGGGGATGGTCATCAGGGAAAGATCTCAGAGGACTTGTGTCCAGCTGGTGGGGCTTAATCCAAGATGATAATTTGCATGCTCATTTGCATATCTTGTGCATGTTTTCATTTAAAATCAATGTGCCCTTCTCCTTCCAATGCCCCCTGTAGGCCCATCCTGTCCTGGAAGTCCCCTCTCTTCTCCCTATGATCCCAGCAACTGCCCCTTCTACCTGGCTAGCCCCGAGGTCACCTCTCTGTCCTCCCACCACCCCCACCCCCTGCAGTTGATCATGTCGGTGTTTGAGAACAGCATGAAGGAGAGAGGCATTGCTGAGAATGAGGCCTTTGACTGGGAGAAGGCGGGCACGGATGCCCTCCTGTCCACAAGCACCTCCACCCCACCCCAGCAGAACACCAGGCAGACAGCAGCCATGTTTGGGTAAGTCTCAGGAAGGGTGATGGCAGGTGGGGCAGCAGGCCACCTCCTGCCTGGAGCCACTGCTGAGAAGCCAGCCCTCTCCTCCTCTTCCTACCTGGACAAGCTCAGTTGTCTCTCCAATTCTTGGTACTCACCAGCAGAGTTCTGGAACTTCAGGAAATTTTGCCACAACTCTAGTCCTTGATCTGAAAGCAGAGTGGGTGATCTCCTCATTTGGAGCTTTTGACCTTAGATCCCTGGGGAACAAGGAATCCTAAGTGAAATCTCCAGAGCCCCATAGTTTCCCTTCTCATCACTCATTAATTTGCATAGCATGCCTTGGGGACTCCACAGGGACTAGGAGAGAAGTCAGCCCATGCCTTCCTTCAAAGTGCTCCTGCTGGATGTTAGTGACGGCTGGGTCAGCATTTTCAGGACCATGTGGCAGGCACAGAGTCAGGTGGTCTGGGGAGGGGCTGGACTAGAATGGCTAACCCAGGGCCACATTTAGGAGGGAGACTCCACAGATTTGCCAGCACACTATGGTGTACGGTTCTGTAACCAGGCTGCTTGAGGAGCTCCAAGGTGGTTCTTTTGAGGCCTGTTCCTAGGTCTAAAGGAAGCCGGGCACTGAGGGCCATTAGAAATTCTGCAGGGCCTCTGAAAACCACAGAATCTCTCGAGTAAATAGAACTGGGACATGCCAGTCCCCAGTGGTCTCCTTGATGACCCTGCCAACTTGAGTGATATGGTCTCAGAGGACTTGTGGGCCAGGGATGGTGATGAACCTGGGATGCCTCCTCGCTAGGCCTCCTCTGTGCCCACGCTCGGGGGTCTCCAGGGCCTGCGCTGGTAGGAGGGGCCTTGGGAGAAGAGGGCACCCCTGCCAACCTTGCCCATGGCCCCGTCCTGGCCTTTCCAGGGTGGTCAATGTGACCCCAGTGCCTGGAGACCTGCTCCGGGAGAACACGGAGGACGTGCTACAGGGCGAGCACCTGAGTGACCAGGAGAATGCACCCCCAATCCTGCCTGGGAGGCCCCCTGAGGGGCTGGGCCCTACCCCCCACCTTGTCCCCCACCCTGGGGGTCCTGAGGCTGAAGTCTGGGAGGAGACGGATGTCAACCGCAACAAACTCCGCATCAACATCGGCAAAGTAACTGCAGCCAGGGAGAAGGGCGAGGTGGCCTCCCCACCCCGATTCCCAACCCTTGAGTCCCCCACATTGTTCCTCCACAGTGCCCTCTGCCCAGTCCTGGCCCTCTTGCCCTGCCTGCATTTCCTGGTCCCCTCCACCACCCTGACCTTGATTCATCAGCTTCATCATCCATTTATCCCTTTCACCCTGAGAAAGCCACCTGTCAGCACCAACTCACTGTACCCCTCTCCTGCAGACCCCCTGTGTGGAGGAGGAGCAGAGCCGAGGTGTGGGAGTCCCCAGCTCCCCTGTGCGTGCCCCCCCAGATTCCCCAACAACCCCAGTGCGTTCTCTACGCTACCGGAGGGTCAACAGCCCTGAGTCGGAGAGGCTTTCCACGGCGGATGGGCGGGTGGAGCTACATGAGAGGAGGTGGGTGTGCGACTGGAGGGGGTGGTGAAGGGTCCCCGTGATCTCCTGCACCTTCACATGGCTGGTCTGCAGGAAAGGTCAGGTGTGAGGCAGAGGCGGGGGGTGTGTCCCTGGGAAGTGTTGACAGTTATGCTCAGCCTGGGTTCAGACTCAGCCTGGGGTCAGTGGTGGCCTAGGTAAGGGCATGGGGCATCCAGAGAGGTCTCAGCTCATGCTAGGTTGGGTCCATGAAGAGGGAGGGGAGAGTTGGTGGGTGGGCATGCTTCCAGAACTTTCCTAATCACTAATTACAAATTCCTCAAGAGCAGCTGAAGGTAGGGGTCCTGGAAGAAGGGTTCATGGAACAGCTGGAGGAGAGGACAGGCCAGTTTGGGGGGTTAGGCCTGAGGGATCTGAAGTCAGAGTGAGGGTGGGACCAGCAGGAACATGGCTGGTAGGAGGGAGTGTTGGGGGCTGACTTTGTGTGTGGGGTGGCTTGTGGAGGGCCAGGGCTGGATCCCCACCGGAGTTGTTAGTAGATGGAACAACACCAGGTGAGATGCTTCCTGCCTTTCTGGGGCCTCAGAGTGGGCTCTGCCCCACAGTAGGCCCTAGACCATCTCCTTATCAGGACTCAGTTCTGCAGTGGAGGAGGATGACCTTCTGACTCACACTCAGCATCTTTTCTTGTCACCCATCTCAGCCATAGTCCCTCCTGGACTTGCCCCTACATGTACTCCACCTCCAGGAAGATGCACAGAACTTCTGTGGGGTGTGCACTTGCCCAAGTTAGTCCTCATTCACACACTCTCACGGGCTGCCTGCCAGGCTCTAAAGACCACCTTTCAATGCTATTCAGCCTGAAGTCCCTCAGCATGGAGAGTTCTGGATGTGGGGACATGAGCAAGGGCAGTTGGAAGGGTTGTGAGTGGAGTTGGGGGAGGAGCGCTGAGCAAGACAGTGCTGGAGAACTGCCTGCTTCTGGCCAGCAATGAGCAAGCTGGTTTGGGTCATAGTGAGCCCTAGTTTTAGGAATAGTGGGAAGAAGAGGGCTGAGGAGAGAGTTTCTGGACAGAAAGGTTTAGGATCTCATTCGGCAGAGGGTGGGCTGCTTTGGGGGCACTGGGAGCAGGAGAAAGTATGGAGAAGAAGAGGTTTGGATTGTCTATGTCTCTTGCCCCATCTTCAAAACACACACATGTGCACGCACACACAGATCAGACCTCATTTCCTTTGATGCCATCTTTTTCCTTTATGTCCATCAAAACAAATTGTGCTCTCAAGAAAAGAAGTGATGGGGTATATAAATATGAGACACTGGGTGGTGTTTTATTTTAAGTCTCACAGATTGATAAAAAATACGGAGTAGAATTGGATCCGGCAGTTTCTATGCAGGCTGGGCAGGAGTATGTTGAGAAAGGCTGAGGGTGGTCCTGTTTTGCACCCCTCCTCTGCAGCTAAAGAGCCATTGAACCACACACAGGCTTGGTGCTGGGGGAGAATTAAAGTCAGCCCTCTGCCCACAGCCAAATATGAGAAGAGAGTCCAAACCCCAGTTGAGTTAGAACTTGGGGTCTTCAAAGGGGTATCCCAGCATTCAGCAGATGACAGTTCTTTCTTGCATAACATCCTGTCCCTCCACACACACTACTGTATAACCAGAAGTAATCTCATCTTGGGGCTGGCACCCCAAACTGAGAAGCTCTGGAAGAACTCACAGATTCACAGTACAGTTCAAAGTAATAACAAAGAGATGTCCCAAGGCTGGATCGCGCCCCAGAGGTAACAGGTTGGAGGGAGTCTATCCATGCCTGAGAGTTCACAGGGAAGGCAGATAGTTGAAGTCCAGTAGTGAGGGGGGCTCAGGGTGCTCTGGAGGCAAACAACCCTCCCTACAGGATGGGAAAGGCTCCTTATAAGAGGTGCATCCAAACACAGAAAAAAAGGTAGAGGGACAGGCTATGTGGGAGGTAGGCCAAGTGGAGTCCAGGCTGTGTGCAGGGAGCAGCATATGTAAGGTTATAGAGGTATGAGAGTGTGGGCAGTTTAGGAAAAGTGAATCTGAGATGGGTCTGGCTAGGGAATGGAGAAACTTAGGCCTAGCCTGGTTGGGAGGGCCCTGAAAGCCAGGCTAAGAAAGGCAGACTTGGTTCTTGGGGCTGAGGAGTTTGTTAAGCTGGGCTAACAGGCCCTTCCTGGAATGAGCGGAAGCAGCCAGGCAGGCCTGCAGCGGAGCGGGAGAAAAGGCTCCAAAGCTGTCTGTAGAGCCTGTTGTTTGTGTTTGCCCTGGATACAGCAGGAGCACTGGATCAGCTGGTTTTAGGAAGGTTAGATTCCCTGGGAACGCCTGGAGAACAGCGAGTGTTCTTTAGGTACAGAAACCAGAGTAGATTTTCTGCATGTGTACATTCCGGGACCACAGTAACCATTCAGAAGTATTTGCTAAATGAATGAACAAAGGAACTAATGAAGTCTTTTAGGAAGTAAGGGTGGAGGGTGGCAGTGCAGGAGGTGACTGAGCCTGGCCCAGAGGGGGAGAGGTGCTGAGTCAGGAGCAGGAGTCCTACTCCACCCTGTCACCTGTTTGGGATCCTTGGGGCTCCAGAGAGGCCTGGCACTGAGTTTTATGTGGGTGCTCCACAGGTCCCGAATGGATTTGCCTGGTTCACCTTCGCGCCAGGCCTGCTCCTCACAGCCGGCTCAGATGCTCTCAGTGGACACGGGCCATGCTGACCGGCAGGCCAGTGGCCGAATGGACGTGTCAGCCTCCGTGGAGCAGGAGGCCCTGAGCAATGCCTTCCGCTCGGTGCCCTTGGCCGAGGAGGAGGACTTTGACAGCAAGGAGTGGGTCATCATTGACAAGGAGACAGAGCTCAAGGACTTCCCTCCTGGGGCTGAGCCCAGCACATCGGGCACCACAGATGAGGAGCCTGAGGAGCTGCGGCCACTGCCCGAGGAGGGTGAGGAGCGGCGGCGGCCGGGGACAGAACCTACTGTTCGGCCCCGGGGACGCAGTATGCAGACACTAGCTGAGGAGGACCTGCGGCAGATGCCGCCTCAGCCCCCACCACCTCAGCTGAGCCAGGCTGATGGCCGGTCAGAGACATCACAGCCCCCAACGCCTGGCAGCCCTTCCCACTCGCCCCTGCACTCGGGACCTCGCCCTCGACGGAGAGAGTCGGATCCCACAGGCCCACAGAGACAGGTAAGGTTGGGCTTGCACCCCACTTCCTGTCCCCAGATTCATTCGAGTCCTGGTGTGCAGGCCTGAAGTGCTCTATGTGCAGCCCCTGCTGCCAGGGAACCCAGCAGTCTCAGGCGTGATGAGATAAACAGATGTAAGGGCCCGAGACCATGCCTCGGGGGCAGGCTAGGCTTCTAGAGGAGGTGCCCTCCAAGTTCTGAGTTGAGTCTTGTGTTGTGAGCAATATATCCAGGTGACAACGCAGGAGAAAGGCCTCCCAGGTCCAGGGACTGCATGTGCAAAGGCCTGGAGGTGGCAGTCAGAATGCACCGCACGTGGCAGCAGCTGGGCTTTGAGACAGGGTCTGTGGGCACCATGGAGGGGGTGGTGAGCCAGCCGAGGCTTTTAAACAGGAGTGTGGCATGATCACTTTGGTACTTTTGAATGATCTCTTGGGCTTCTGTGTGGAAAATGGGTTCTAGAGGCAGGAAGGCTACCTGACAGGCAGTAGCAGGAGAGACACTGGCAGCCTGGACGGGGTGGGCATTGTGGACGTGGGGCAAGTTGGACAGAGCCAAAAGGCATTGGGGAGAGGACAGAAGGGTCGTGATGGAGCAGAAGATGGGGAGGGGTGTCTTGGCGGATGCCCAGGGCTCTGGGGGGGCTGCCGTGCCGTGATGGAGTGCAGAATTTGACATAACAAGCTCCCAATATCTGAAGGATGTCTGCCTGGAGGCACCGGAGGCTCAGGAGAGAGAGCTTACCTGGAGTTTCAGAGTTCAGGTTCTGAGAACCATAGGAATGGGTGATGTCACCCAAGAGGACTGTGCAGGGTGGGGAGACCGAAGCATGAGGACAGAAGCTAGGAAACACATCTAGATGACTGAGAAGAAGGGAGCCCTTAATAATGATGGAAGAGGAGACAGAGCATGGTGGAGCATGAGGAGCAGAGGGTCACCAAAATCAGGAAAGGGAGGGCTGACAAGGAGTGGAGAGGAGGCTGTTTCTACTGTCAGTGCAGCTTTCACTGCAGGGGACAGCCCCAAGAGCCAGGGGACAGTGGGGACAGTGGAGGCAGTTCTAGATCGGGCACAGTGGTGGGTGTGTCTGAGGGCCCTGGGAGGGCCCAGCCTTACTGTGGTGTTACCTTCTTGTGTGGGCGGACTGAGGGACAAGATGGCAAGGGCAGGGAGGGACCAGATGGTGGTCAAATCTCAAATGCGAGGCTGAGGGTCTGAGCATGTCTCATGGTATTGTGGTTATTTTTTTCTGACAAGGACAGGGCTTCAGAATAGGTAAGAAGCCATGCTTCTCTGTGGTGGGTGGAGGCTGACTTCTGACCTGGAAAGTAGACATAAACTCTTATACTGTGTGCCAAATGGACTCTACAACTCCTCAGAAGGGCTGGGGAGAGCCATGAAAGTGATGCTGGAAGGGCCCGGGGGGCGGTGCCCCATTCCACTGGATGGTCCATGTAGGGGCGTGCACCCCAGGTGCAGGGCTGTGGGCCGGTTCTGCCCCTTGCTCAGATGGGAGGCCTGGTTTGAGATCACATGGGTCCCCTGGGAAGGGCAGCTGTGGGCATGGGACCATCCCTGTGTGGAGGTCCTGGCTAGAAGAGAGGATCTCTGAACCAGGATCCTGGGGAGTATACCCCCTGGCCTTTCCCTGTATACTGGGGGCTCAAAAGTGAGGACTATGAGTCTCTACCCAGAGAGGTACCAGCTGGCTTGAGTTGGAGGCTTGGCCCTGGCAGGATGTGGACTGGCCCAGCTGTGTTGGGACCTGGTCATTGTTCCCATCACGGCTGGCACCAGGAAAGCAGGAGAGGATCAAGGTCTGTTTGATGCCTCCGGCTCCCCTGTTTCCTCATTCCCCACTCCCTGAACACGTGTCATAAGCCAGGAAGCAGAGGTGGCAGAGCAGACAGGTGTGATCATAGTTTGTGCCACCAGGAATTCAAGGAAGCTCCCAAAACAGTCATGCAGGCAGGCATGGGGACACATGCCGGTAATTCCAGCAGGTGGATCACAAGTTTGAGGCCAGTCTTAGCAACTTAGTGAGGCCTTGTCTTAAAATAGAAAATATCCCCACTGGGGATGTGGCTCAGTGGTTAAACGTCCCTGGGTTCAAACCCTGGTACCAAAAAAAAAAAAAAAGAAAGAAAGACAGCAGGTGTTGGGAGGAAGCCCAGAGAAAAGTCAGAGGCCTCAGTCTGTACCTGGTTCTGCTCATCTCTACCTGGTGACCATGGAACAGTCACCACTGTCCCCTTCTGGATCTCACAGTGAGGGAGCTGAGCTATCTCTGAAGTTTTTCTCATCTTCAGATTTTCCCTGATTTCTGGGAACCATCTTCACTTGGACTTCTGGCCAAGGGAGTGAGAGAGAGATTTGGGGGAGTAGGCATAGGTCTGTTATGCAGCCAGCCTGGCTCAGGTCTTGCTCTCAGCATGGAAGGGGCCATGATGTGTCTGTGGGGTGAGGTGTTGGTGGGCAGAACTGAGGTTGGTGGCATTCTGTCACCGTGTATGTATATATTTCTGTGTCGGCTGAGCATGGGAGTGGGTTAGAAGGTGGATATGCACCTGGTGAGCACACGCATCGGCAGGTTTGTGGGGAGTGTAGGGGGCTGTGAGTGTGTAGGGATGCCTGGATGCCTGGCATGTCAGAGCAGGAAGGATAATAACAATGAGAGTAATAATTCTGAAGACAATAACAGCTGGCACTTGACACTAGGCATTGTCACATTTTCTATATGCATTCCTCACAACCACACCCCGAACAGGCAACCCTGTAAGTAAGGCTCGTGGCAGCTGTTTTTAGCATAGTGTCGCCAGCTGATACATGGTAGGACCAGGACTTGGACCCAGGTGGCTGGGTCCAGGGTCTGTGCTCTGAGATACTCAGTTCAGGTCTGTTTGTTGAGCAAGCAGAGGAGCAACACAGTATGAGGAAACAGTCTGCTCAGGGTCAGAGAGTGGGTGCCTGGCACCTGTGTGTGTGTGTGTGTATGCATACACACATCTGTGCATGCCAGCTGGCTGGCCCTGTGGGCAGATGTGCCTGTGGGCACGGCTGAGTGCACAGTCGCCTCTGTGTGTGGCTGGAAAGGTGGGAAGGGCATGTTCTACCTGACAAGCAAGACCCTACTTCAAGGGCAGAGGAAGGGGGAGAATTGGACTGGCAGACATTTTTCCTTCTTCCCTTGGGACCCTGAGTGGACTGTTGAGCTTGGCTTGGGACTGGGTGGAGGCTCCTATCCTCACAGCACACTGGAGGTCAGCCGGTGGGACTCTCCACCTCCAGAGTAACTAGAAGTTTCTACAGGGACAGCCTCCCACCCCCACCCTTCCGCCTGCCATTTTCCTGTAAGGAATCCCTCCCTAGAGCTGGCACACACTGCAGCTCCATCCCCTACCCCGTGGAGGGCGGGAGGACAATCCTGTGGGGCCAGGTGTACCGTTAAGCACCTGTTCTTCCGTGTGCGTGATTCGGTACTTCAGAGAGACTTCTTTACACACACCTGGCTTTCTTCTTCAGGGAATTTCAGATGGAAGTTAGAAAGGGCCGAGACAACTGGGGCAGAGGGTACATAGCCAGCAAGTATGTGATTTGGGGGAGAGCTGTTTACCACCTTTGATGGGTGTCTCTGACTGATAACAGCTGGTCAGCTTTCCCAGAGTACACAGACATTTGCTGGGAAACCACCAAAACATTTCCCCATCATGAGCTGGGCAGTGATCTAGGGACTAGAGGACAAAGATGAATGAGGCTTCATTCACAGTCCTGTGCTTACAGAGCTCAAACAGGGTACAAAGGTAGGTCTAGAGGTGGACATTTATAATCAGGGTCATCAGGAGGAGAATGGAGCACTCACATCTGCTAGGACAGGAATGTGGGAAGCTGAGGTGTTGTCACAGGGGTGATTTTTCAATGGAGCGTTGAGGATAGGTAGAGGGCCCCAGGGGTGCCTGGCCTGAAGGGCCGCAGCTTGCTGGGACTCAGTGTAAGCTTCGAAAATCTCCCTGGCAGCTGACAAATTCTGGCTGGGATTTTCAACTCAAGGCACCCACATGTGCTGTGAGAAGGGGCCTGTGGGTGCCTCTGCCCCTCAGTCTCTCCAGGTGGGCCTTGGCTCCTAACCTTACTGCATATGGGACTTGGCCTAGAAGAAACTGGCAGAGGAAGCAGGTGGGGCAGTTGATACTCTTTCTCCCTGCTCTGCAGAAGGTCCCATGCCAAGTCCCTTGTGTCCCTATTTGACACCAGCAAGGGCAGATGGGTCTTAAACGGGTTTGGGTGTCCCCAGTACCCTCCTCCTTCATCCCTAGAGCTGCCTTGTCAGTCCTAACTGCCACAATACAAGCTAAGTACCTGACCTTAGTCCCAGGAGGACTAGGGGTCAGCATGGGAAAGGTCTGTGACACCCAGGCCACTATTTCCAACCCCATGCACCTGGGATATTTCTTTCCCTCTGAGGGCAAGAAGCTCAAGGGCAGGACTCTTCCTGATGCTGAGGAGGCAGCTGCTCCTTCCACTGCTGCCTGCCTGGAGGCTCCTTGGGGAGAGAAGAGAGAGTTAGAGTTGGATTTGTCCCTCCTCCTCACTCCTGTCCTCATTCTCAAGAATGGCTTAAAGGATTCTAAGGTGGCTCAGGAATACAGCACTCACTCCCTGGCAGGCACTGTCTAAGTGCTACTAGTGTACACACCTGGCCCCCACACCCTATGAGGTGTGGACCATTCTTCTCCACCCACCTCCTTTTTTTTTTTTTTTTTTGGTACTGGGGACTGAACCCAGGGGTGCTTTACCACTGAGCTACATCTCCAGTTGTTTTTATCTTGAGATGGCCTGGCTAAGTTGGGAGGAGGCTGGCCTTAAACTTGTGATGTTCCTGGGTTAGCCTCTTGAGTCACTGGAATTATAGGTGTGTGCCACTGCACCTGGGGTTTTTTTTTTTTTTTGCACCTGGATTCTTATCCCATTTTACAGAAGAGGAAGCTGAGGCACAGAGGGACAAATAAGTTGAGGTCACCCAGATAGAGTAAGTGATAGAGCTGACATTAAAACATGAGTCGTTGGACTCCAGAGTCCAACCGCTGTCACTGAGAGTTTGATCCTGTCCTGTGATGGGTCTGGGGTGCCAAGTATGCAAGGAAGGTATGCAAGGGCTGATCCTTAGACCTGGTGAGGAGCTGGAGCTTGGTGGGGGGAGAGGCAGCACCCTGCCAAGGTGACTAGGACAGAGGCAGAGGGCCTTCCTGAGGGGGAGGTTCCCCTGGTGGAGGGAATCCAGCTAGACAGGGGCTAAGTCAAGAAAGCTTCTCGGAGCAGGTGAGTGACCAAGGTCTCTGCTGGGAGACCATGGTGTGACAAGTGCCCAGAGGAGGCTCAGGACAGGGCGCTGGAGGCCAGCGCCGCAGGGGCTGTGAGCGGTGGGTGGCCCAGCTGTCGAGTCTGTGCCTGACGCCTCTTTTCCCTCCACTCTCTTGGTCTCTTTCAGTTGGAGGAGGACAGACTCTCGGGGCACTCCCTCCCGCGGTACAGCCCCCTGCGACGACTGGCGTCCTCCGTGTTCTCCTCCTCCACGCTGGAGACCGAGCATTACCCTCACCCCAGCGGCGGCGGCTCCTCGGGCTCCTCCGGTTCCCTCATTCAGCGCAGCCGCTCGGCCGAGAGCAGCCCCGTGCGGGCGCCCCACCGGCGCCACGCGCCCCTCGCCGCCGGCAACCACAGACTCGTGCCCTCGGTGCTCCGCATCTCGCGGTCCCAGCTGCAGCAGGTGTGGGCCCGGTTCACCCACAAGACCTAGGCTGGGCCCCCCCCCTCCTGGAGGGGGCAGGTGGGGGGGGTGGGGAGCAGGCAGAGACCACGGTTCCTTCCCAGGACGCAATAATCACACCACACACACCCCGTCCCGCCCCACCGTGCAATACAGCTCCCCCTAGAACGTTGGCCCAAGGTACTGTAATACTCCTGCCCCTCAGTCTCCGTCCCACCCCCCACCGTCTCCCTTTGCTAGGTGCCAGCCAAATGGTGCTGGAAGGGGTGGGGCTGGCCGTGCAGTTTTGAGGACAGGGCAGGGGCACTGGGTCTGGGGTCCAGTGGAAACCAGGTTGTCAGAGATGAGGTGTACTAGGCCAGTCAGTCTGGCCTGGGTTTTGTTCCGTTTAATCGCGATCTCTGGGCATGGCTGGGTCTGACCCACTTCTGAAGGGCTGGTGGAGACCAGGACCCTGGCAGTGGGCTTGTGTTTGGTGTCTTTTATCTGCGGCTTGGGGCAGGGTGCGTGGCCTTGTGGATGGGATATCGGCCTGGTGCCAGGCTTGGGGTGTGGTGAGGAGGTGTCTCTATACTCAGTGATGGGGAGGGGGTAACCCTGGGATCTGATGAGCCCTTCCCACGCCATCATCACGGAGACCAGTCACTTTCCTCACACATCTTATCCCAGAAAGCCCAGGGCTCAGTTCTGGGTCAGCTGCCTCTCCCCCAAGACTTATGTGCTGTCACTCACTGCTAGGATTGGTTGTCTAGCTTCAGCTCTTCAGGAGCCACGGAATGGTGCAGCGGGGTCAGGGTCAGGGATCTGTTCCTAAAGGCAGAATGGAACCCAACAGTGAGGGGACCTGTCTAGATAGAGTGCAGATAAGGGGATTGTTAAGGATGAGGAGCTACCTGGGGAGAACTCTGTGCTCATAGCAACACTGGTGTCTCAGGACCAATGCCAGGGAGGAGCAGCTCACCTCTGTCCCTCTTAGGAGGTGACTTCTTCCTATAGGTGCTCAGCCAAGCTGGTTGGTCCCCAGGGTGGTGGTGAAGACAGAGTAGAGGTAGGCAGATCAGTGGGATCTAGAGATGAGTGGGGGTCAAAATGATTGATTGCTCATGCCCTTTCTGCCCATTTCTCAGCCCTGAACCTGTCACTGCAGGGATCCCAAGTCTCCCTTTCTTCATTTCTGCCCATGCCAGCAGCAGCTCTGTTCCTTGGGGAATGGGGTTGTAGTTAAGAGGGTGCCAGAAAAGGCAGTACCTGTTTAAGGAGGGGAGGAGACCGGATGATTTGCAAAAATGTTTATTTCAGAGAGATTGTGCCTGTGTGTGTGCTTGTGTGCATGCGTGCACACTTGTGAGTGTGAGTGTGCTTGTCATGGGTGTTTGTACCTGTGGCAAGACTGCCATAGATGGATGCTCAGGCTATGCCCTGCACAGTTCCAGGGAGTGTCATTTGCATAGACCGTAATGTGACTGGCACCCATTGAAGTCAGACAGTGTTACAGGTGTGTGTGTGTGTGTGTGTGTGTGTGTGTGTGTGTGAGAGAGAGAGAGAGAGAGAGAGAGAGAGAGAGCCAGAAAGATGTCTGTGTGGTTCTTGATAGTTTCCTATGCACTTACCCTCATCCTGGCTCCTCTCTCTACCCTCTTCTCCCTCTGATCTCTCCTTCTCTCCCAACCCCATGATCCATCAACTCCCCAGATGTCTCTGGTTAGAGTAGAGTTAAGGCCCCTGCTTCAGCCAGGGAGTGCTGTAAGTGTGGTGGGCAGTGTCTTGGAGCCTATCTGTCCTTACATATGGCCAGCATTGTGGTATGGTCCAGTGGCTATGATCTACTTCCATAGCACCTACTTAATTTGAACAATCTTTTTTTAAATTGTTATTATTATTTTTTTAAATGAGAATGGCTGGGCCAAGAGCATCTTTTTCATCTGGCAACAAAAGCCAGGCTTGGGTCCTAATACTTATGTCTCATCCCCACCTCCATTCTGACTGCTCACTTTGAACTTCCCCAGACCCAAGCCTCTGTCATCCCAGGGCTCTTCTGGATGGCTCCACACCCTGCCCAGAAGTTAGGGGAGGGGTCTTGGTAGACCCTTTGAGAAAGAACAGAAAACAAAAAGCACAAAGGTGAGGGGGTGGGATGAACTACATCCCCACTCTCCTCCTCCCTGCACTGCCCCCCTCTCTTTCCTCTCCCCTCTGGCCTGCTTCCCATCCTCCCCAAGTGGTGGCAGGGGGTGATTTGAGGGGAGTGTGCCCACTCTCCACTCCATAGGTCAATAGCACGGGGGCTCACCCAAACCAAGCACTCTGTTATCTGGCATTTCCTTCCAGAAAGTTCCACCACCCAACCCTGAGCAGATCTTTATCTCGGTGACCTTGAGGTACTCTAAGATCCCAAAGTGCCTTGTGACTTATCAAAGATGATGGCATGGGCTCCAGCCTTGTTTTAGCGTTAAGTATATGTTACTGTTTCCAAAGCCTTTGGGGGTGGGGGACCTGCTAAGCATCCCAAGGTGGCTGAGTTTTCAAACTCACACACCCTGAACTGACCCTTGTGAGAGAGTTTGTGTCCTTTAAAGCAAGGCCATGATTCCAAATATTTTGTCCTTGGGGGGACATCCTTTTGCATATCCTCTGTGTTAGAGGAGTGTTTGTAAGCCATAAAGCTCTGAGCTAACAGGAGATGGTCTTGATAACACTATCTTTTCAGGATGGCTTTGACTTTTGGAAATTCTAAGGTCATTTTAATCACTAGAGTTATTCACTAGAGTTCACGTCCATGTAGGGCTGGGTAGAGCCCCTTCGTGGTTAAGGGCTGAGTAGCCATCTCAGGTTCCCAGGCTAGATAGGGGTGCTATGAGCCTCCGGTGTTGTCAGATTCTTTTTCCCTATAGGATTTTCCAAAAAAGCAGGCCAGAATGTTTCCAGAAACGGTACCCTGCTTGGGGAAAGCATGCAGCCTCCCATGGTTAGCTTTGAAAACAGACAGTCCTCTTCCTAGTCCCATACTGGGGATTTAACCTAGGGGCACTCTACCACTGAGCTACACCCCAAGCCCTTTTTATTTTTTATCTTTGCAACTGGCTAAGTTGCCCAGGGTGGCTTTGAACTTGCAACCCTTCTGCCTCAGCCTCCCAAGTATCTGGGATTACAGGCATGCACCACTGTGGCCAGCTCAAATAGCACCTTGTTGTACTTTGAAAACGATGTTCTCATACGGTGTACTCAAACCCTGCATATATTGGTGTCTTCCAATTATTTTTTTATTTAATAGTCACTGGCACACAATGCTTATTATCATGTGCCAGGAAATGATCTGAGCACTTTACAATATTAACTCATTTGAACCTCATATAGGCCTATGAGGTAGATCCCAGTATTACTGCATTTAATGGATTAATAATAACATTTCATTTACACAAACCTATAGGAAAGCCTGCCAATACTGAATAACTAAGATCATGTTCTGTAGGACTTTTTAAACGTTTTCTTCTGCATAGTAGTTTACTTATTTATGGTCCTTTTTGGTTGGTCCTTCCTCAGCTATATAGGAAGAGGCAAGTTGTCTCTGAGCCATTCTTTCCAGATGCAGGTTACTCCAGAGCACTGGGGTCAGTTGAAATGGCTGGACCCTGTTTCTCCAGGACCCCTCCCCCTCAATCTCACATGGCCCCAAATATCCCATAGCAGTCCTGGGAATTAGATGGGTAGATTAAGTTCGGTGAGAAAACAGGTGCTCTGAATCCTGACCTTGGTACTGGTGGGGTTCTAGAGGTCGGGCTCACAGCCAGGGAGATAATGGCATTGCTAAGCACTGATCAGGGGACTCTGAGCCAGTGTTACCAACTTATACAGGAGTGTGAGGGAAATGACAGGTTTGGGGACTGTGGTAAACAGGAAGCCTCCACCCTGGCCACTATCCTCAGTTAGACCAGTTGTCACTGTCTTCCAATTTTTATGTGAAATCTCCCAATTTTGAATTGTTGGCATATAATTTAAAACACACACTCACACACACATTTACACACAGACCACAGAACAGTTTTGTTTTTTTTTTTTAAAGAAAAAAGAAAAATCTGTGTGTGAGCCTAACAAAACCAGTTTCCAGGAGGAGATTACCCAAGCTCATAGGCCCCAGGAGCCTGAAGGTCTCCCCAATGCACATACAGCCAGGGCTGCAGTAGAGGGGGCAGCGTTCTTCCCAGGAACTCAAACCAGCTGGGCTTCTTAGAGAAGGCAGTTCTCAGCCAGCAGGACTGTGTGGTGTGTGTGGTGTATACGTGTCACGTGGACGTGCCTGAGTGTGTGGGACCACGAGACTTGTTTGTGGTGATCAGAATAGGACCACCTAGTGGAACCGGTATTTTTTCAGTGGGAGAGAGTATGTTGTGAGGACTCTGGGTCCGTGAAAAATGTTCTATTAAATTCTCAATAACTAATACACAACCCCACATGCACTCAAGGCAGCTTGTCATAGCAATAACCACTGAGCACTCTTGCCCCCTCCCCAATATCCTGAACCCCACACTCTCCCTTTGCATTTTCAATTTGGGGGAAAAAAGACCCACCCAGCCCTGCCAAATGGGTGGCAGAATAGTGGCACCTCTGAGCCAGGCTGGTCCCAGTACCCTTCTTATCGTGTGTCTCCTCTCTAGGTTCCTTTATCTGGGGAGGTTGGGTGCTGTCTCTGCAGTGGAGTGGGAGGAGCCCCAGTCACTGAGGCAGACAAAAGGAGCTATGTCAATTTATCTGAATGGGGTGGTCAGGGGAAGGGATCATGCTTAAAGGAGGATGTGGCTCTGATTCTGGATGGGGGTGCTCTCGCTATGGGGACACACATGTTGTGTCCTCTGCTGTTCCAGGATTGATTTGGTACCTAGGGATGGAAGCATGGACCCCTAAGGAGGACCTGACGCCACTCCACCCCACTGAACCCCAAACTCCACTTAGATCTGGGACACTCCCAACCCCAGGGGCAGGAGCCAGCCTACTCCCATAGTCAG